TAATCTTCAGCTGACCTCAGACATGCTCTGCCATGACACAGAAATGATTCAAACTTTGCTTCCAGAGAGAAAAAGTGATACAGAGCATGTTACTATGACCAGAAGCCTGAAGGATGCACCTCTTCATCATTAACTTTTAAAATCAACATATATATTCTAAGGAATATTACAGATTTTTTTTAAAGCTATGACATTCTACTTACCTTAATGACAAATTTGTTGGATGCCATGATAGGTCAGAATAAGCTGGTCCTATAAAAACATCAATTAACAGTGATCAGCACTGGAGAAACACTCAGACCTCTACACCAATCAAGAAGGATTTTTACACCTATTACTCATTTTTTTTCAGCACTGCTGTTCTTCAAACCCTACTCTCTGCTTTAAGAAATCCAAGGAAAATTCTTATTTAAAGGAGAATTACTTAGCTACCTGTGTTGATTTATTTTAGTGAACTTCATAACTGTTCAGGCACTTCACACCTAACACATGAAATACAAAGAACTCCTTTAAGTATCAAACTACAGCTTTTGGTGCACAGAAGATGCATACACATACATATATAATTATATAAACACATACACATGTATACTTAAAATTTTAGACGACAACACACTTAAAGCAACATAACCCGAGCCTTATTGTGGTTGCACAAAAGTAAAGTGAACTTCAGAGATCCTCTTCTCTTGCTTATCCCAAATAGGATCTAGGTTGCTTAATTTGGGATCCTGAGTGAAGTGCATTCAGCTGCACAGCCCCTGACCCTGCCTCAGACCATTCCAAGGAACTCAGGAAGCATTAATTCATGCTGGAAATGAAACACACGCTCCCTTGGGCTCAAGAAGAAACCCTCAATTAATTGCCAAGATTTTTTTCCAAACTGACAACAATTAATGTCAAAGCATTGAAGCTACTTGGGAAGCTCATCATCCTCCACATAAACAGGAGCTAAACATTCACTTGTCAAAAGTAGAAAATTAGGTTAAACTCATGAAAGTCTTTCCAGCCAACCCCACAGAGTTGGGATTCAGAAGACATGCCGTGGGCCCTAAGGTACCAAATTAATACCTATAAAAAAAACAGGAATAAAAAAATAAGATACATTCCATTTTCACACAGGACAGGAAGAGAGGGAACAGACAAGGAAGAGACTTGGACTGGGCAGAAAACCAAGTGAAATGAGGTCTCAGTGTGATAACAGGAGACAGCACCAAAACAACACAGTTCAAGCTTCAAAATCAAAACAGAAAACGAGTGTCAGTAGCTTCTACCTGCAACAGATGAACTGCAACAGAAACCACATGGAGAATAGAGCTGCCTTTTATGTCCTAAAGTATTAGTCTCTTAAGATGGACAAATCTGGTCAATTTTGTATGAGAGGTGTAGGAAAATAATAAAAATTGAGGAAGACCTACACATTTGTCACTGCATACTTCAAGTTATTGGAAAGTACTGAGACAGAGCTGTCAAAACTTCAGGACACAAGGCAGGTTGGGGATATGTGTCTCTATCAGGCACTACAACTTAAATGTTTCAAAATGCAGTCATTATGCCTATTTAGCTTCAAATAAGTGCAAAACAAGACAAACACCCACTTTACAGCTACACAGCACAGCACAGATAATCTTGATCTTAAGATTCAACAGTAATCATGTTGAACTCAATAAACGCAGGGCTTCCATTCCAAATATTCAAATGCTGAGACCGAAGATTTCAAAATAACTATGAGAAAATGTGAAAGTAATGAGGGCACAATTCCATGTACTGGCTGAAGGAAAACTCCCAATTACTTACATGATTTTTTTTCTAAATATATCAATATCCAAGCAGTAAAGATACAAAACCAGTAAAAGGACGGCAAACAGTGAGAAGTAAAATGGCTGTTACAGTAACCAGGTTAAAATGAGTTTGAACTGAGAACCACTCTCCAAGTAACTACTGAAAATAAACTTTAATATAGTTAATAAAATGTTTCAGCTCTGTCCTGAAAAAAGGTCAAAGTTAGAGCTTTTATCAGCTGTACAGTAACAGTAAGCAGAAAGATATATAAAATAAATTCAATTTTAAAATAAGAGAAAAAAAATTAGAATACCATCATGGCTTGTGCCACACCACTGTCATTCTCTCTTGCACAAAACAGCCCTGGAAGCTTTTCAATCTTATCAGAGTAAATCCTGACAACTTTACTGATTTGGAGAAGCACAATGCAAGGGACAGTGCTCTGCACCACCTGAGACATCGTATTTCAGTTCAGCCAGGCAGTAAGTGCCACTCTACAGAAGTAAACATAGAAGAGAAACTGTAAGAAGAATCCCAGCAGGAGATGAAACTCAGAAATCACTGAAACAGCAGCTGCCAGAACTAGTTCAGAAGAGATGCTGAAGGGAAACGGCAACCACCAAGTGAAAACCATCTGAGCTTCTCAGCTCCTTATAACATTGCTCCTGAAGAACAATATTTGGACTGGTAATGTCTTCTCATTAATCTTTACAGTAGGAATAATACAAAGAAGAGTTGCAACAAAACGTGCCAAAGCACCACCTCTTGTCCAAATGCTCATGTTCTCCTTGAGAGGAAACAAAGCACATAAATGAATCAGCTGAACTTACCCTGCCAGCACCTTTTTGTGACCATTTGCCTTCCAGAACAATACTCTTGCAACAATCCTGCTACCACTGCTGTGAGAAGAACTGCAGGCTGAAATCCCCTCCAAATCCAATTTACAAAATAACAGAAGAAAAACATTAAAAGGAAAAAGATGGTCAAAAAAAAAGTTAACTTTGGTTCACTTTGCTCTTCCTGGAGTTTGCCAACTATCCCATTCTTTGCACTGAGCATACAGATAAAGGAAAGGAAATACAGCAGATAGAACAAATGTAAGCAAATCCTCAGAAAACAAGAAAGAATACACTTCATGTGTGAACCATCAGAAAGGTCACTGGAGTGACACAGGTGAAAAAGGATCCAATACTGAGACATCAGAAAATGAGCCAAAGCATCCAGCAATTGTACAAGAAAAAGCCAACTAGCCCCAAAACACTTTGCCATTTTCTGTGTTGAAAAAAAACCCACCAAAATTACAGATATTATTACACTTGCTACTGTTTGGCAACAAGACTGTTTCTCATGGAATAACGTTTCTGTTGCAAACCTCTAAAGGAAACTCTACATAAGGAAATGTAAAGATAAGAAAATAAGGCAGAAAAACTCCTCTCAGAAACTATATCTATTAAAAAAAAAAAATTTAAGTCTTGATGTGGTATTTGTAAAAAAAAAACAACTTTGAACATTAAAGTTTTCATAGACAGTGTGTATAAGAAAACATGATTTAGAATTAAACACATAGGTTGCTTGTAGCTAGAGTGAGACACACTGAAAAATAATGTGGCACAATATCTTTCTTTTCTAACTTTGATGCCAAGTGGAATGGTAGACACTCAGGGGAAGGCAGTGTCTCATGGCCTCCCAGAGAGTGAGTGGAAGTGTTCTCTGCCAGCTGAGGAACAGCATCTTACCTTAGCAAAGAAATAGCTTCCCGTAGTGAGGGAATTTGGAACTCAAAAGGAATGAGGAACTGAAAACTTGTACCAGATGCTTGAAGATACAGCAGCAAACTATTCACACAGTGCCCATCTCTGGGTGCCTTTGCCTGGAGTGGGGAGAGGTGGACACCTGAAAAAACAGCACAAACAAACACACAAATGCTGATTAAGGAAGTCTGTAAAGCAATTTGATATTAACTATTTCTCTAGTTCATTTCTGTAGTTCAAGATGAACTATCACAACATAACAGAGGAGTTTCCTGAACTTTTCCTTAGTCCTTAGGTACTGTAGTCAAACACTGTCCAGCACTCATCAGTTTTGGGAGCAGATCCTAAGCTTGGGATGAGCAGTGCAAAACTCAGCTACTCACATATCTAGTAAAGCATTTGTAGTCCTGAAAAGACATATCACAATCTTCACAATTTTGCCATTTCAGGATTTTTATGTCCACTGTGGCCAATTGCTCCATTTAACCCTTGAAAACTACTCTTCCAACAAGTCAGCATCTTTTTACCTCATTGTTATCCACACTCCTTCAGTCGGGAACTGCCCATTCACCTCTAAAGTTCAACAATTTCAAAGACATTACCCACTCACCACACCACTGCACAGAACTAGAGGAAGGAGAGGTTCTGAGGAACATCAGAGGGCTGTCACAGACAGGTGCTGGCTATTACCTTTTTGCACTGATAAACAGCTTTTTTTAAAAAAAAAAACTTTTGTGAACAGCTGAATGCAATGAACAACGAATAAAATTATCATACAATAAAAAAAAATCATGATTCTCCCTTTTGTGTGGAGATTAGGCATTAAATACTCGTCTTTTGGCTACAGTTATAAACTCTGCAACTATAAACAAAATTGAAAACTAACTCATCCATTAACACGTGAATATAAAACGAGATATTCTTGACAGCAGTGAGCATGGTGAGGAAAAGAGTGAATACAGGAAAAGTATTCCTGCAGCCATAGGAGTGAATACAAGAAAAGCGAAGCAGAAGAGTTAAGCAGAAGAGCTAAGGAAACACTGAGGTCAGGGAACGAAGTTCTTTTGCTCTTGTTTTGGCCAGAGCACCTTCGCCCGCCCACAGGAAAGCTCAGACAGGTGCGCGCTCGTGTAACGCGGAGTGACTGCAACAGGAGGTAAGCAAGGAAGAAAGTTCTGAGAGATATGTACATATTTTTTAAAGCGGCCGGGCACGGATGAGGCGCAGGGGGCGGCGCCGGAGCGAGCCCACCGAGGCGGCGCCTGAGGGAGGCGCGGCGGGAGCCAACCAGTACAACACCAGCTCTCCCCAAGCATCCCCTCGCAGGTTTAACTAACGAGGAAAGAGAGCCTGGAGCCCGAAGCGCGGCCGCGGCCGCTCCCGCAGGAGCCGGGCAGCCCAAGGCGGCCGTACCTCTCCCCTCACCGCGCCCGCCTCCCGCCGCTCTCCTGCCCTACCCAAAATGGCCGCGCCCGTCGCCACCGCCCGCCCTGCTCTGCCCGCACGCAAAATGGCAGCCAGGGGCTGAGGCGGGCCCGGGCTGCGAGTGACACAGCACTCGGCTAATGGCGGGCGGGGGGGGGCGCGGCGGTAGCGGAACGTCCGGGTCGTGCTTCCTTCTGCTGCTTCTTCTTCCTGCGAGGGCGCGTTTGAACGTGCCGGGGGCGGGTGAGTTTTCGCCTCCCCGGGAAGGCTCCTGGGCAGCGCCTTCCTCGCTCCCTCGCAAAGGGGAGAGAAGCCTCAGGTGCGCCGTACCCGCGGTCTCTGGCCCGAGGGAGCCGCTGCCCCTCAGCCGCCCACGCTTCAAGGTCGCTGGGACGCGAGGAAGAAGGAGGAGGGGATTGTGAGGGCTCCACATCGTCATGCTGGGGTGGTTAGTAGGGCTTTTACACCTGTCAGGTGGATGGAGTTGAGGAGGAGGAGGAGTAGGAGCACCTACTTCCTGAGTTGTAGGTTTGTAGCCGTTCAACCCAGTGAGATGTTTTGGCATAAAACCTGAGTATACGTGCGTTTTCTTCTTGAATTAGGTACTTCTTAAGGGAGAGTAGTGTTTTCCACCTTCTTATGATATAAGGATTAAATTATTCTGTTTGTGCTGGTGCTGTTGTAGCTTCCGGGTACCATAAGCTGGTCAGGCAGAGCCGCCACTTTGGGCAGGGTAAAGTGGGGTCAGAAGCATCACAACTTGCTTTGCCTCCAAGTTAAAAGTTCTATATTTATTCTCTTTTTAGCGCGGTTAGTCACTCCATTTTATTAACTACGGGGGGAGGAAAAAAAAAAAGGGTGTATTTTAAAACTGCTTTAAGGCTTCAAATATTTACCATCTGAGCAGTAACGTTTGTAATTAGATAAAGCTTTGTTGCTTTGTTGTGTTTAAGATTTAGCATGCCAAAGCTCGAAGCGAGTGCAGCAATTAACATTTCAAAATGCCTGAATTGAGGTTATTTTTGCATCTTTTTTTTTTTAAGTTCACAAAGTAAGACTTTCTTGTGTTGTTTTGTGTTTTAGTCATCTGCTGCACTGTAGTTAAAGGTATTAGCATTCAGCTTCATCTGTTCAGTGCTATTATTATAGCGTAAAAAAAAAAAGGATTTCTAGAATATATTTAAAATAATAAATTATCTTTACCTAGGTAGATGCCAGTTTGCAATGGGTCTTAAAACCATCTGGAAGGACTACAAAGTTCTGATTGTTATGGGAACTGGCCTTGGGCTGGTACACTGGGGCTGGTTTTACATCAAGTCCAGTCCTATTTTCCAAATGAAGACAGAGGACTATGTTCCAGAACCTGGGATTGTGACATACATGATGCAAAGCGATCAAAAAAATAAAGAAAAATAACATTAGTACTGTGTATTGTAGGTAAGTTGCTTAATTAGTTGTGTCTGTATCTTTGAGGGAGGAGATGAGTCAATTAAATGAGACTTTTCTAACAGATGCAGCCTTGCTGCTCTGACTTGAGTATTCTAGAGTTTTATTCTTCTTTGCAACTGAGTTAATCTTGTAGCTACACGACCCCAAAAAGTGCATGATAAAACTCAGAAAACTTCTGCTAAATCCCATATGATGAGATCACTTAAGTGATGGTGTTACGTGTCTTTAAAAGCAGATTCCAATAACTTCAAGGCAACAGTGCTACTCTTGTGACTGGGTCTGTAACAGTGTCCTTTCAGGCTCAAAACTGCCCAGAAACAGTTATGACTTTACATAGGAATGTATTCTGTAGGAACAGTAATTATACTGGAAAACTAAACAAAATTAAATATGAGGGAAGTTTAACTGCTGTGGAGATTGCATAGAAATGTAAATAAATATGTCTTTAAGTTTGAAAGTGTTTTAAGAACTGAAAAAGTTTCCTGTTAAGCATTTTAAAGTAAGAAACTTTTCTTTGAGTCAGATTTCTTAAAGTTGTTGGAACATCAGAAGCTTTTGTTTCTGAAGTGGTTGCCTGGCAAGCAGTGCTGAGTAGTTGAGTTCTTTTGTTTTTGAGTAAAACAGATGAACATCACTGTTTTCACTATCACTGTAAACTATCACACAAAACTATCACTGTAGTTTGGACACTTTAGTGAAATTTAGTAAAGTTTGTAGTGACCTGTTACTTATAGACCTGCAGGTTAAATAGTAGAGACTGGTGGTCAGAATTAAGGTTATTAACAATATAATATTCATATAACTGGTGTGCTGTTTTTTCTTTTTTTTTTACTGTATGCTTGTAGTAATTATCAGATTAATAGATTTTCTCAATTAAAAAGCATTCAGGTGCCCAGGTAAGGGCAAGGAGGCCAATGGCACCTGGCTTGTATCAAGGAATAGTGTACCCAGCGGGACCAGGGAAGTGAATGTCCCTCTGTACTTGGCACTGGTGAGGCTACACATCAAATTATGGGTTCAGCTCTGGACCCCCACTTCAGAAAGGACACTGGGGTGCTGGAGCGTGTCCAGAGAATGGCAACGGAGCTGGTGAAGGCTCTGGAGCAGAAATCTGATGAGGAGTGACTGAGGGAGCTGGGAATGGTTATCCTGGAGAAAAGGAGGCTCGAGGCAACCTCATCACTCTCCAAACCAAGGAGCTTTTAGTGAGGTGGGAGTCAGTCTCCCAAGTAACAAGTGATAGAACAAGAGGAAATGGCCTCAGGTTGTGCCAGGGGAGTTTTAGATTGGATATTAGGAAAGCTGTCTTCACAGAAAGGCTTGTCAAGCACAGGAACGGGCTGCCCAGGGAAGTGGCTGAGTCACCATCCCTGGAGGTATTTAATAGATGTGTAGATGTGACACCTGGGGACATGGTTCAGTGGTGGGCTTGGCAGTGCTGGGGGAACAGTTGGACTTGATCTTAAAGGTCTTTTCCAACCCAAATGATTCTGTGGTGCAGTGTTTGTCCTTACATGACTTTTTCTTTTTTTTTTTTGGATGAAAAATAAAATAGCAGTTCAAGCTATGCAATATTGTCATAAGATTATCCTAATACCTTTCTGGTTTTAATTGTAGGTGTAACTAACACTGAAGCTTTTCATCTGTGACTGTTGCCAGAAAAGATGAAGAAAACTACCTGGAACAGAAAGAACCTGCTGCTTGTAGTAGGACTGTCAGTTATAGGTGTCCATTTAGGAAGCATGCTTGTAAACTTTGTTGCAAAAAAATCTGCACAGTCACATTCAGAAGTTAAAAGAGATCGTCATGAGTGAAAATAGCTTCCTGCTGTCATTGTGCATCAATGTTGCAACATGATTTAAGCCTCATTTTAAGAAAGACATGATGAGCAGTCACAGGAACGTTATTGTACTGTATGTACTGTTTCACACTGAAAATGATAATCCTTATTAAAATGTACTACTTTTAGATTTTAAAAGTGCTATGAATTATAGATCCAAGTGCAAATGAATTGTTTTGTTGGCCAGAATTAAAATCTTACTTTGAAAATGTCTCGTCTCGAAGCTAAAAAGCCTCCGTTATTTATTAGCGAACCTTTAGCTAAAGACAGGGTGTGTCAGTCGCTGCTTCTGCTTAGCAGAATACTTAAATCTTCCTATGGTCCTGCTGGTAGACTCAAACAGCTCCACAACGGTGTGGGAGGCTGTGTTTGTACAACTTCCCAATCCTCAGCTCTCCTGAGGCACCTTTCCGTCAGCGATCCCGTGCTCCGTGTTGTGACAGCCTCTGTGCAGAACCACGTCTCGCACTTCAGCGACTGTGGCTTATTTACTGCCATCCTTTGCTGTAGCTTGATTGAAAGCTTTAGAAGCCTGAATGTTGCGTCTTGCACTGTCATTAAAATAACCAGGCACCTCCTGAGTTTGTGCATGGACTACCTGAAATCCAAGGCTTGTGGTTGCCGAGTGTCCGTGGATTTTAGCAGCGTTGAGACCCTGGTTTGTTTGGTACGTAGCGTTTTAACAAGCAAACCTGCTTGCATGCTTAATAAAACAGAAGTTGAGCATCTCGCCACGCTGGTTTTAAAGGCTTTTTTATTTACTGTTCCATGTCACGTTGAGACTAATGCTGTTTTAGGAAAGTGTGTGATAGTACCTGTGAAAGGAAGAAGAGTTATGGATTCTACAGTTCTTCCCGGACTACTGATAGAAACACCAGAAATTCAGCTGGGAAAACCACTTGCTGTCAAAAGAACTGGTTCAAACATGATCAAGATTGCACTTTTCTGTGTGTCCATGTCAGGAGACAGCTTCAGCCCCGAGGAAGGAACTATAGCAGTCTGTCATGGAATTTCTCTAGAAATGTCAGAGCTGAATCAGTTGCTGAATGTAGGGAAGCAGCTGGTTAACGATGGGGTCGGCCTTGTGGTGTGCCAGAAAGTGATCCATCCATCCTTGAAACAGTACCTGAAGGAGAACCTTGTCATGGCTGTGGACAGAGCTGGGCTGTCTCTGCTGGAGCCCCTGAGTCGGATGACAGGTAACAGGCGAGTTTTCTGTACTAAACAATTGTCCCCAAGTTTTCATCAGGAGATCAACATTATCTGGGGTGGTGTCATTGCAGAGTAAGGGTTCTTATTTCTGCCTGGATTCTCTTAGCAGCTGAGCAGGAGTTGTTTTTTTCCAGTCTGAAAACCATTTCTTAAGGCGAGATTGATCTTTTGCAGGTTCTAACAATGACATACCACACGTGTGATTACTGCTTGCTGCAGGAGGGATATCAAGTTATAGATACAGTTACTTTTTTTTTTTATTTCAAACTATCACCAAGTCTTGCACTTTGAACATGGTGGTTTCTGTTCGTGATTTCCTGCGTAGGTTGAAATGCCAGGTATTGAACAATATATATAGCTTATAAAGCCAAGGAGAAAAAAAGTTCACGTTTTATGAAATGCAACAGATAACTCTTCTGATGATGGTGCTACATGTTGTTCTCTGCTTTTCATAATTGGCAGGTTCAAAGCCTATAGCTTCCATACACTCGTTGTCTCCTGGTTGTTATGGCAGTTTGAAAGATGTCAGCATTGAGAGGGTTGCTTCCAAACATTTTGTGCATCTAATTCCTGAGGACACAGTTATCTGCAGCTTGATACTCTGTAACAGAAGTGAAACAGCATGGGATGAGTTGAAGGTAAGTAGATTTTCCTGAAATCTTTCCTTGAAAAGTCATGCTTTTAATGGAAAAATTAATGAGGAATAGAAATACTGTGAGTTTAGAAAAGTGATTTTTCGGTACATAAATTGAAGTTTACTTGTTTCCAGAATTTCAAAATCCTTGAAGTGCTCACATTCATTTATTGCCTCAGTTTTAATACAGGAAGTTTAGACACAGAAACATTTTTCACCTATTCTTGAAGCCAGTGCTGGATAAATATTTTCATTGTCGTTACTTGGTCAATGAGAGCATAAAAATAAAAACTGCCAGCAAAAGGCCAGCAGCAACACTTGCAATGGTAGTCAAGCATAGTTTTGCATTGAATAGTTGCTCTAGAAATGTCATTGATACTGATTGACTTTTTATATATAACCCTGTTTTGCAAAAAGAAGGAATAAAATGCATCTTTTTTTATTTCTACTTTTCCATAGCGTGGACAAATAAAGACAATTTCTCATTAAGTGAATATGGTTTTGGAAATCACTCAGCAGCTTTATATCCACATGTAATTCAAGATTCTGGAATCTGTACTAGAAACTACTGAAAACTTTATTCCAGTAGTTTTTTCTGTTGGGGCAAATGCTATTAATCATGGCATGTCTAACAAGAATTTTATGTGGTTTTCAGCGTGTCTGTGAAACTGCAGAACATGTGTTACAGTTGACAATGAAGGAACCTTTAGCATTGTTAGGAGGGGGCTGTACAGAAACTCACCTGGCTTCATACATAAGATACAAGGTATGTAAGACAAGGTTTTTTTAAAGCTGCTTAATATTCTTAAGAAACAAGAATTTATGTAGAATCACTGCTACAGTGAAAACACTTATCTCTTCTATGTTAATGTGGGATTTTTGCTGTCTAACTGCTGCTATAAAACAAAGGGGTCTATTTGTAGCGCTCGGTGTTAATTACATCTTTCAGACTTGTTAATGCTGTATTTGTACTTGTTAGTCTTTCTTTAGGTATCTATTATAGTAAGTGCGTGGTTTTAAGTGTTAAAAATGTGTAGAGTTTTTTTGTTGAAAGATGATAATGCAGAACTCCACTTTGACTCGTCTAGAAATCTTCCCTATTGTGGAATAATCAGGACATAAACATTTTTTAGTTAGAGCTGAACCATCTGGCTTGGAAAAAAAATGCAGCAGTGTGATCCATGTTTAAAATCACTTCCGTAAAACAGTGTTCTAACTTTTGGTTTTGGTTTCTTTTTTTAGAGTTCTAATCTGTCCACCAGCACTTTTCAAGACCTGGGTTGTTCTCAGACACAATATCAGTTGGTTGCTGATGGGTTTTGCCGTTCCCTGGAGTCTGTAGCTCGCTCTCTGAATCGTGATGGTGGAGAAATTCTTACAGACGTGGTTTATGGACACTGTTGGTTTGTTCCATCAGGTTTTCCCTCTGTCTCAAACTGGTCAGATGTAGCTTCAAAGTGTGGCTGTGGGATTAATGGTAACACAGAGGACCTCAGCTGGAGGATTTTGGAAGGCCAGTCTTGCTCTCCTGTTATACAGGGCTGCCCTAAAGAGCCCTCAGTAAAAGTTACTGACTTTCTGACATTGGACTGTTTTGCTGCAAAATGTAGTGGCCTGCAAGTAGCTCTGGAGACAACCAACCTGGTCCTGGATCTCTCATACGTAATTGAAGATCAAAATTAGCTCTGATTTTATGAGAATTGTGTTGCACAGCAAGATACTAAATTGAAAGCAGGGTGATATTTAACGTGTTAAGATACTTCATTTGGTTAGAAATGCACAACAGAAATTTTAAATTGAACAGTTGGCCAGTAATACTCTTCTTGTTGTTATTCTGCTGTGCTCTCAAGCATTTTCAGGTGTTTCACGTGTTCCCTCTGCATGAAGGAAAGTTTTGGATGTGTGTTAGCTCTGTGGCATCTTCAAAGGAATGGGAAACATGGATACCCTTGCTGAGTAAACATGTTATGGATTAGAATTTATGTAGTCTCTGCAAAAGCTTTACACATTCAAAAAGACTTTTGTAACGTAGCAGAACCTTATCACTGGTATTTTTAATTTTGCAGGTAAAAAAAAGGCTTTCCCGAGCAGGCATCTTGAGCCACTTGCTTTTAAATTTTGTTCTGAAGTTCTTGTCACCGTATACTATGTGCAGTTTCTGTTTCTAAATGGCTGGAAGATTTTAATTCATGTTTGTAATTTATTTAGCAAATTATAAAAGCTCATCCTAGAGCTTTTAAGGTAGGTAATAGAAGATTTGAAAAGAAATGGCAGACTGGGTGGAAAAACACTTCTGTGATTTGGACCTTGATTGTCTTCTGTGGAACACAGGACAGTCTGTGGTGAAGTTTCTGTCATTTAAGCAAAGCTGCAAGAAAGAATATCCCACTTTACCATTCAGTTAACTCTTTGACTGTGCATGGCTTCTTTTAATGAAGTAAGGCTTTAAGCTGCTCAGGCTTGTTTTGATCTTTAAATAAGACTGTAGACTGAAGGATCAGAACTTTTTCTCATTCTCAGCTTGCATGCAAGATCAAAAAGGGTGTTACAGTTTCTTGCTTAAACTCATTTTCTTTGCCACTCTTCTTCTCCCCCTTTGTTTTCAGTCACAAGGGACAAATTGTTCATGGTGTGCTTCTCCAGAAAACATCCAATTCAATTGTAGTCTAGTCTGCTTATTTGTTTCCTGGTCTCTTAAGTTTTTAATATATTTACTGAGTCTAAGCAGTAGAATTGTTTTGTATAACTCAGTTTTGAAATATGTAATTAAACCCAGATCTTTCCAGACCTTTTGTGCAAAGTCCTTTTAATTTTAAGAGCGTAAATAATCATTTTCTCACTGGGAAAAAAATTGGAAAGTTATTTAAAGTTCTTTATCTTTTTATGACACAAAATGATTGTTTCAGTGCTATAGGCATCCTTTGGGAACTTGGGGAAGAATGTTACAAGGGTTGAGAATGGAGGCTGTTCAAAGCTGATTAATAAAAAGGCTGCTTTCATATCTTGATCCTCCCATATACCATGAACCATATGAAAACATCAGGAATAATGAAGCCAAATGATGGTGTATATCTTCAGGCACAGAAGAATCTTGGTAATACTTCATCTAATTATGAGTCTCTAACTCAGAGTGCTGAATTAGAGTATTTTACTTTCTATAATAGCAGCTTGTTATGCATGGAAAAATGTTGAGTTTAGTGACTACTGCTGTGAAATGAAAATTAAAACAGTATTTGAGTAGAAGTATCTGTGAGTGTTCTTTTGTGTTGGTATCTGAAGGTCGGTTCACAGCTCTTGAATCAGAGCTGACAACGGTTTTTATTTTCTCCCGAAGAAAATCACAGATTAGAAAACTATGAAAAAATTAAATTTGAGTTTTGGTAAATCAAATTTTAGCTAAAAATTAATTTATACCTGAAGTAAAAATTGTTTCATATATAGATAGTTTTAATAACAATGAGTTTTTGTCTCCCCCTGACTGAAAAGGATAAATAAGCAGCTGACTCTGCTGCTTATGGACAGTTCAGGTTCAGTTGTCAGTTATGCCTCTTGAACCTTTAGTGGTTAGTGTTGCCTCATCTTTAATGGGTAACATGAGTAATACAACTTCAGATATTGTTTAAAATGCAAGTAAATAGAATTTTGACTCTCAATTCAACAGCAGCTGTTGAACTTTCATATTTGAAAGGGTTTCCCCCTGTTTTAAGTTGACAAAATAAAATATCCCCAGTTGCAAGGCCTCTGAGAAGCCACTGTGGTTTTATTCCTGTTGCCCTTAGCATTAAACTTTGTTCTGTGGGAAAAATTAACATTATACAAGTATTATTAAGAGACAAGTGTTTCTGATCACGACCCCAGTCATGTCTGATTTCCACAGATTGCTCAGAGGCTATTAATTTAAACTTTCATAATTCTACTGATAATGCACAAGAAGTAAGAAAATTCATCACCAGCCTTCTCAGCTGTGTTAGTGCTCGAGGCCTAGCAGGAGAAAAAAAAAGTGCTGATATTATAATCAATCAGGTCAGCATATTTAGGTAAGATGCAAGTTTAATATAGTTGCTCCTCAGTTCATTGTTTGGTATTTGAAAGTGAATACCTGAAAGTGCTGATTAATTTAGGGTTCTTTGTTTCTATTATTGTGTCCTGTTTCAAGTAGACATACCATTAAATATTACTATTTTGGCATTGGCTAACAATGCAGAATACTTGCTTTTCACTGATTCTGCTACTGGTTTGTGAATTTGTACAGTCACTGAGCCATATCTGAGGTCTTTTTCTGTGTATTTTCTAAAACGGGAACAAAGATTTGTGGGTGAAGAGTTTGAAGATCCAGATGTAAAGTGAAGAACTACTTGCTGTACAGGAACAAAGAAAGAGATATTTAGGAAAAAAACTCAAATCCTTGCTAAAATATTAGAGTAATTTCATGAAGGGAACTTTGGCCAGGATTTATGTAGACTCTGCTTGGTAAAACACCCCCTGTTCTCCTTGTATATTGAATGCATTTTCTTTTTCTCTGAAGTTTCAACTACAGTATGTCACTGTTTCTAACAGTAATCTGATTTATAGCTTTACATCTTCAGTACACACACACAGAGAAATGTGACCTTAAAGCTCTGTGCAGGAATGGTTGAAATTCAAGATGAGCATTGTCAGACACGTCAGCAATCCTTACTGTATATATCATGTATGTCTTCAGAGTCTGTGCTCTGCATTTTGGAGCAGATGTTCATATGCTTCTAATCCTTGAAGACAGGGTAAAAACAGAGTTGTGTGTTTGGGAAACCTAACCTTACTATATTGGTAGCATAACATGACCTTGTTGGTTTTTATTTTTTTTTTATTTGAGTGTTTGGGCATTTCTAGGCTGACCAGCTAACGCTGTTATAGCGTTAGATCTGTCTTGGTAAGTAAAGAGTATTTATTACTGTCAAAGCTTGTAAGAAAAATAGTGCCTGGAACATCACAAGCAGAGTAGAGCGTGTACAAAAGAATTCGCCTTACCCAAAACCTGAAATTCTGAATTATACTTATGCCCTTATTTTGCTGTACTGAGTAGCAAAATGTGGTATTTATCACATTTTCAGCAGTGCCATGTGAACTGAGTCATGTAAGTACTACACTCTTTAATCTCAGAAAAATCAATATCTGTGAGTCAGTCAATGTCTTAGCAAGAACTTTAACTCAATTTGCATTTACTGCTGTTCTGAAGATGCAGAAAGAGCGTGGTTTTATTGCAAGGGGACTACCTCCAGCATGCTTATAATCTGCACAGACAGGCTTTTTGAGAAGTCACATTACAATGTTTATTTCTAGAATATTAGTAGCTTTTATCCATTATTGTAAATATAAGTTACTTCTGTTTGCCAGCAGAGACAAGTTGCACAGTACTAATAAATAACTTTTTGACCAGTAACACTGTGATCTTAAATTCTCAGTTAAGAAGTACTTTTACTTTTTGTCTGTATGCATTGCACGGTATAAATTAGTCGTGCACATTATAAACTCAAAAACATGTACAGATTTATTCTTTATGCTGGAAGGAGAAATGTAGTTGCAGCATATGTAGGTAGAGCCACCATGTCATTAGTCCAGACAACAATAAAATTAATTGCAGAATAGGTTTCAGGATTGGGCTGGGCACTTTGTATCTTTAACCGTGCTGACTTCCATTATTCTTGACCTAACCATTAAACACAGATACAGATCTTGTAGGCATTCTTCCTGCAGGGTTTTATTTTCATACCTTACTGCAAACATCTCTGTAAACTCGAACCTTCAAATCTGCTTGCACATGAAAAGCTTTTATTCAAGCTTTCATCATGTGCCTGGAAGGCCCCAGCTGTGTGTGTCTGCTTTCTGCAAGCTGATTACTGGTGTCCTTGTTATTTTCTGTCCTGACAACATCATCTCTATTCAGGTACATATTAAATACACGTGAAATGATAGCTGCTTATTATGGTAACACTATTACATGTTGTCTGCTAAGTGTTTATGTGGCAGCATCACGATGTCAACAGCTATTCCTTATTGGTACCTTTTTTTTTTAATAAACCATTAAGTCTAGTCTCTTCTCCCTTAAGGTTTTATGATATTGGTAGTCTGATGTGTTATACGTTGTAAAAAAAAAAAAAAAGAAGTTTGGGGAAAAAATGAGTTCCCTCCTCTGTGGTGATGGCTTGTGTGTGGGCTGTGCGGGCTCCTCTGCTGATGGATGGTGCTCTCAGGGGTGAGGGCTGAGTGATTTTTCTTTTCAGAGAACTGTAGGTACTGTGGTACTTCCAGTTCTTGGAAGACTTTGTGACTTTGAGAGGCAGAAGCAAAACTATTTCACCCTCGTTTATCACTCCTTGTAATTAATATTACTCCTGCCAGGTGCCTGCCCAGCTGCTCGCTCACCCCTCAGCTCAACAGAGGGAGAAAACTGGGTGAAAAACCTCCTGGCTCGAGTAAAACCTCCTCCTGCCATGTTTCCCACATTTTCCCCTTATATTCTTCGCTACCAAGGGGCATTTTGGCCTTTGTTAAATCTGTTTGAGCAGAGTTGCCACAGGCATGGGTCTGAGGGCTGGGCTGGGCCCGGTGGTGCAGCTGCTGGAACCCGCCGCTCCCCACAGAGGCCCCTCAAGCACCTCACAGGCAGCCATTTTGTGAGCCCTCCTAAAGCTGCTGAGCAATGTGAAAAAATCACTGATTTCAAAGAAACTCTGACCCAAGGAGGAGCCCTAGAGATGTCAGCAAAGCCAATCCTGAGGGAGGCACTGGGAAAAAGAGTTTTTTCCTTGTGCAGTGAGCCCTTCAGGAGGGTTATGGGCTACACCTGGAGATCAGCCAGCCGGGGGGCTGACCTCAGAAAACAGGCAGGGGCAAAGAAAAAGCCAGCTTCTGTTGGACGTGGATGATGTAAAGGTGTGGTTGCTGTGACAGGCTGCCCTGCTTCCCCCAGAGGCAGATCCAGGGTAGTTATGCACTATATGTGGATAAACAAGGTTTGAAGATGTGAGGACTGAGGAGCTTCCTGAAGTGGGCCCTTTCTGGGAAGGCTGAGATTGCTTCCCAGTATCTTTGAGATGGCCCAACATGTTCAGATGGGAAGGCCACCTACTCACACCCATAAAAGACTCCTCAAGCGTGGTCTGAGGATAAAAGTGTGTATGTGATACAGACAGAGGATTGACCCACGGCCCCTCCATCATCACATGAATGTGGCAGTCCATGAGGTGACTCCAAAAAGTGAGTTTTTCTATATTTACTTTTGTCTCAGCATGTTGCCTTCTAAACAGGTGTGTGTGTGTAGCACGGCTGTCTGTCTGCCAGGCTTTTTTCTCTTTTTTTTAGCTTTGTACTGCTTCATTTTTAAGCAGTGAAGAAAATATTTCTTCTGTAACTAACAAAGGTAGGACAAAGTCTTCACTTGCTGTTTTTCTTCTCTGCGATTGCCAACAGAGGTGAAGAAAGGAAAATTAGTCCTTTAGTTTGTACCTGAGTTCTTTTTGAGTATTTAAAATCGTGATCCAAGAAAGGATCTCCTGAAACTGTCTGTCCTGTATTGCTGAAGTGTCATGTAGCTGTGATCAGCATTGCACTGAATTCCATGTTTTGTGTTTGGCCCAGATATCTTTGCTGAATGAGGTTTTGAACTGTCCTGTCATGATACTTTACTTGTTAACATGAATCTGTCCATAATTTTATGTTTTTTCAGGCACTGAAGTGTTTGGTCTGGCCACTCAAATGTGTGAGTGTTCCATAGCTGGGAACATTTCTAATTGAAAGTTGTTCTCAGCTGAAACATGGTCAATCAGGCAGTAGCTAAGGCAGTAGCTAAGATGTCCTTGGTGTATCTTTCCTTTGAAATTACCTGTTTTATATGTGTTGGTAATTAGGAGAATATGATACAAAATGCTAAGAAATTGGAATTCTTGAACCCTGTATTGAATAATCCAGTCTTCTTTTTCTTTTTTTTTTAATTTTTCTTGGTATACAAAATGCTAAGAAAGTAGAATACTTGAACCCTACATTGAATAATTAAAAAAAAAAACCCGAAGCTGGATGCACTTGATGTCTCTGTGAATGTAAAATCCCTTCAAGGAGTCCTTTATATCAGTGTTCCACAGAAGAGCAGCGTTCTGAGAGGAGCAAAGCGAGTGCACGTGCCCTGTTTTAGGTGTTAAGATCTGTTGCATTTGCTCAATCAAAATGGCTGCTAAATGAAAAATCTTCTTCCTAAAACTGCCTGTGAAACA